TTAAAGGGATACACGCCCGTCGAGGTAGTTTAAAGTCTATTTCTCGTAAAAACACTAAAGTATAAACGGAAATCTGACATCTTAATGACTATGGGTCTGCTGATCTGACAGCACATTAGGGGGCGGGGCTAAAAATGAATACCTGCTGTTGCGTTATGTTGCGTTAGAGTTACGCATATCAGGTGGAATTAAGAATCTCATTTTATTTGTTTACACAGCTATAAAACAAAAAGTATTTGTGAAAAATTAATTTTGAAACATGTTTTAGAAATTTTAAAGGCCCATTTGAAAGGCGTGTGGATGAAACACCATGTGACTCTATCTGGAACATTTCTATAAATAAATAAACATCAGCTGAGTCACTGAGCCGACGATCAACTCTTTGGTCAAGATTCAAATTCTGGAGCATCTTTTAGACGATCATCATGAAACTATCTGCTTGTTTTTTTATTTTTCTTATTGATGCCTCTTATTTAGGCTTTATGAGCTTCAGACGTTTCCTGACCTTAAAACCTTGAAATACAAAAAATAAAAATAAAATGGTGCCTAAAAGTTTCCTTTGAATGTGGGAGAATCAGGGGCTTTACTCAAACCACAGATGTTCAAAGTGAATAAATGTCATTTCAAAGTCCAGACCGCTTAATGATTCTCTGATTAATCAACAAAAAATTAAATATCAAGTAAACAAAAAAAGCAGCAAGATGAACATGTTGTGATATTCCCACCCTGAATCGATGCCGGGGTTGTCCAGTGGGGATGATGCGGAGACGTCGGCGCCGGGGGGCAGGTCCCTCTCGATGCCGCTGTCGTTGGACATAATAGAGAAGCGAGGCATGTCGGCGGTCAGCATGGCGCACGGCGATTCACCCAGATCAAAGTCCTCCTGCTCCTGGCTGAAGGAGGAGAAGTCCTCCGTCACGCTGCTGGAGCGGAACCATCTGGAAAGCTCCCTCCCTGTAACGGCAGAACATGGATGAGACGCCGTCCGAACCGCTGACACATGCAGAACACAGACCGGTGCACAGCAGTGGCGTCTAAAGTCCTTATACATGGCTGCGGGGGGAAGTGGGGGGTGCTGCAGCACC